CTAAAACACTTTCCTGAGCAGGTGTTAACCTTTTTATCTATTATCTTCAACGCCTGCTTCAACCTTAGCTACTTTCCCACTACGTGGAAAGAGGCAACTGTGATTGGAATTCCCAAGCCAGGCAAGCCTCTTAACCTCCCCTCCAGTCATCGCCCCATTAGCCTCCTCAAGGCAATGGGCAAGCTCTTCGAAAGAGTCATCCAATCACGTATGAGGCGCTATCTGTTTCCCACAGACGGTGACCCTCTCATCATTCCCCATCAATTCGGGTTTCGAGCCCAACACTCATGTCCCCAACAAGTTCACCGCATTGTGGAATATATCCTCAGCGGTTTCTATCCTCGTCGTCATAAGACCATCGCGGTCTTTTTCGACATAGCCAAAGCTTTCGATAGGGTCTGGCATACAGGCCTTATCTACAAACTCTACAAAATAGGTCTCCCCCGATCGCCTAGTACGTCTCGTGGCCTCTTACCTAGAGTATCGTACCTTTCGTTTTAGACACGAAGGCACGCTATCCTCACAACGGACTATCAAGGCTGGTGTCCCTCAGGGCTCAGTACTTGCTCCTCTGCTGTACATCCTGTTCACCAACGACATTCCCATCCCGTCGAAAGGTGTTCAGCTCTCCCTCTTCGCAGACGACACTGCTATCTACTGCAAAGGTGTCTCACTGCCCTTCATACGGAACAAGATCCAAAAGTCAGTTGATGACCTAGGAGCTTGGTTCAAAAAATGGCGCATCGATGTGAACCCGGAGAAGAGCTCCGCCGTTCACTTCGACTATAAACGACGCCGTCTCAAAAACACTCCACCAATACGTATGCTAGGGAACCCTGTCCCCTGACATACGACCGCCAAATATTTAGGTGTCACTCTGGACACAGGGCTCACCTTCAGGCCCCACGTCAAAAGAGTAACCCGTCACGCACGGTTTTATCTGAGTAGGCTCAACAAGTCTCCGAAACAAGCGTACCCTTTATAAGGTCTGTATACGACCAGTCATGTCCTACGCGGGCCCCGTCTTTGCCCACGCAAACCCTAATATTATTAATGAACTCCAAATAGTTCAAAACCTTTTCTATCGTCGAGCTGCGAACGCACCTTGGTACGTCCGTAATGCCGACCTTCATCGGGACCTAGAGCTCCCAACAATTCAACAATTTCTTAAAAAACTCTCTGAGAACTTCTTCAAAGCCTTGGAGTCGCACCCAAACCAATTAATTCGTGAGGCAGCTTCTTATGCAGCCCCACCCCCCCTCTCGCTATCGACTCCGCAGGCCGAGAAACTCTCTCTCGGACCCGCCTAATAAACTGACAAACGACCTGAACTGTCTCCTGGCGGCTCAGGCCAACTCTAATTAAATTAAATTATTGTATTAACTAATATTAATCTGCCTTCGTAGGCACTCCCTCAGCGGCTCTTAGCCGCCTGCGCCCTCTTTTCCCAAAAGAGGGTCGCTCACGATAAGGCACAATACAGCTTAATCAGCCGGCTGCCTGTCCCCAAAGGCGGTTTTTAGAGGGTATCACTTAGGGTCCCCGGTAGGACAGTGAGTCCCTCATAACCACGATAGACCGGCTATCGTGGTATGCGTAATGCATTTTCCGCCTCCCTACGTATAGGGTAGCCCTTTAATTGCTTCGGGCGCAAAAAAAAAATTATATAAATATTAACATTCATATAAAATGATAACTGAATTTTACTGGTAATCTGGAAGGTCCTGGTGTCAGATGGTGTTTGAAAGCAGAATCTACTTGCTGGGATATTACTTGAGCCCAGAAGTATGAAAGTTAAAAATAATTTGAATGCTCAATGAATAATGAAAAGTACCTAATTTTTGTTTTATTGTATTTTAGACTGTAAGTTGTTACAACAAAAGTAATAAAAAAATTTATTTATATATTAATTTGATACTCAAGTACACCAGCAACTAATAAATAAGTTAGTTCAGTGTGGTGTGCGTGGATCGCTGATGAGATGGTGCGAAAACTGCCTCGAAAATAGGATATAATTTAAAAAAGTGAACCCTTAGAAATGGTAGGCACCGCTCAAGGATTAGTTTTGCGGCCCTTACACTTTTTTAACTTATGTAAATGATATGAATAACTGCCTTAATTGCTCTGCACATGTCTGCACATGGCGTCTATCTTTCCGTCCGAATACAATCTGGGCGTCTTCAAGGCAAGAGTTAATAGGCTTTTGTTACGCTAAGACAGTGCGATTTACCATCTAAGGCTGCATCATCACTTACCACCAGGTGGGAATGTGGTCAAGCACTGGCTTATAAAAGTAAAAGTAAAAAAATAATAAATAAATACGGGTTGAGAAGACATACACATACAAAACAAATCTCAATCAAATATACCGGGTGACGATGAAGTTATCACGTTAAAAAAATAAACCAAATCCTACATAACGTTCTTTAAACATAATAACTTAAAAAAGGTAACAATTAACATCCTAGTTCCAGTAATCCTTTTTTTCGATTTAATATTAAACAACATCATGTAAATGCATATATTTATCACCTGAAGAATACTAGGAGGTCAAAGACCTATGGCGGGCAAAGGCGAATTATAGGTCAAACGTTGCCAATCCGAATTACTCAAATAAAGAAAAAGAATCAAGCAAAAATGTACTTAAGACTAACGGTTTAAGGCATAATTCTTATGCGCGAAATTAAAAACAATGGGACTGCGCGTTGCAGGTGTGTGCGAAAAATTTACTTATAATAGACGACCAAAGGCATAATTCTTTATGCGCAAAGTTATAACAATCAGGACGGGGTGCCGGGAGGGTGCCTGTGGTTGAAATTCGTATTTATCTGGCGCGTGCGATGGTAATTAAGTCACTAGTCCGACGTCGGGTGATTCACGAGACGCTTGATCTCGCGTACGGGGCCATCGAGTTTTAATTGTTGTTTTTTTAATTGATTTTGTGGATATTTTGATAAGTTTCTTGATTTGTTTGTAATAGGACACGTTAATAGAATAACAGTTGTGATAAGATGGCGTCACAGTTTGTGCGAAATTGGACGATTACTTTTACTGTTCTGTATTTTTTTGCTTGTGATAGGACACGCTAATAATACGCTAGATAAAAAATAATATTTAATAACTTAGTGAAGTGGTGAGACAGCTCGTTTGAAATTGGACTCTTTTACTTTTTTTAACGTTTTAACTTAAGTTTTAAGATACCTCGTATCAATTTCACGTCGTCGGAATACAGCGACATGAATTTGATTTACGGAGAATGCCACCAAAACGCGGCTCTGGCATTACATAACATAGATTATAAGATAAGAGTTAATTATTTGGATAAAAACGATACCATAAAGTTTGTGGTTTGTTGATAACATCGCGTTAGCATCGCCCTATGCATGCCTAATTGCCTATGTAAGGGCAAGTGTGGGTATTGCCTATGTTGATGCTGCCGCGTCGCTGCGCTGTTGCCGTTTTTACAGGTTACTTCAAGTCAGTAAACTCATATTATCCAGGATGATTTGTTTCGTGTCATTTTTTAAACTATTTATTTTGTTTGAAAATGCACTTTTTTATTTTTTGTGTTATTGTGTATTTTATTATTTCATCAGACGTATATCAACTTGCATTAACTGCTGCGCTATAAAACGAGATAACCTAATCGCCAACCAGTATAGGCTTCAACTAAAAATTCTTAAATACATAGCATCTCCAAACAATAGGGAAAGATTCAAAACATGTTAAGTTGTTTAAACATTTTAAATTTTTACCCATTTATACACAATTTAAATATTCTTTTTGACGTGACAACGTCTTATAAATTGGTTTGCCGGGTGACACTTCAAGAAACTGCGTTACGCTCCGCTCACGTTATGCGCTCACAATGAGAACGAGTGAGAGGCACGCGTCCCTTCCACTCGGGCATGGTTAGCCCGCCTAAGAGCGAGAGAGACAGACATAAAAAGTGAAAGGCACGCGTCCCTTCCACTCGAGCACAGTTAGCCCGCCTAAGAGCGAGAGAGACAGCGCGAGAGAGACAGAGCGAGAGAGAGAGAGTGAGAGAGATAGGCATACACACCGGTTCATGTCTTGCGCTTCTATTTCGCTTAGGCGCCTGCATACAAGTTTACACGTTGCCAGTTAATTGTAAAACGATTGTGTAGTGATAATGTGAAGGTAGTTTCGGCCATCGCAACAATTCAAACAGCAAAGGTAAATAATTTCAGACTGATAATATAACATGATGAAATAAATGACTAAGACATAAGTGAATAGGTTATGTTGTAGTAATCACATTGTTGTGGTAGTTTTCAATCAAAAAAGTAGTATAAATCGTTTCTCAACCAATAATAATTTGTTTAACTTGAAAAAATGAGCGCGACTTGCTATGTAAAAAATTGAAATAACAATGTTTAACCTCCAACCTGTCAAATCGAAACTTTCAAACATTCAAACCGAGACGACTAATCACTGCGCAAGGTCGTAAGCGCGCGATTTACAAATTCAAAGATCAAATGTGAATTAGTTTTCTCCTTTTAGAAAATACACTTTGAATTAAAATCGATTGATATTAACAATTAATGTGATTTAAATAAATGTTCTAACTTTTAAATTTAGTTTTTATATTTATAACAATGTAAAACAAGTTAAATTTATTAATAACTTATAACAACTGATTGATTTAACACAAACCAATTTTGTGAATTCTCGAATTTGTTATTTATATTAATGAATTCTCGAATTTGTTATTTATATTAATAACTGTTTCAACAAAGTTCAATTTATGCAAAAATTTGAAATAAAAAATGAATTTAACATACACAAATTTTGTGAAATTTCAAATTAATTATTTATATTAGTAACTTTTTAAAACTAAACCAACCAAATTGTGATCTTTTCTATGTTATAGAGAGTTTATCGTTATAAAGAATGATGTTATAAAGAGTTTACACTGTATTTGAAAACATTTAAAAATATGAGAAACAATAATTTCTAATTTGTTCAATTTTAGTACAATGGAGCCAGATGTACAAATTCCTTCAACGTCCAGTACACCGATGGAGACTGATGATATCGTGCCACCAACGTCTGCCATACCTTTCGCTGTGCCACACACACCCCATAACGCCAAAGCGCAACGACAAAGTATGTATAGAAAACGTAAGGCCGCGGAAAGAACTCCTGCAGAGGCAGCAGATTTTGCAAAAGCAGCCGCCGAAAGACAACGTAGATGCAAGCAACGTAGACTCGCCAACTCAGCTCTTGACACCGGCACACTAGAGTCAGCCACAGTGTCTGCTCCTGTGGTAGTGGAAAGAACAGTTACTGCCCAGACCAGCGCTCAGTGACAACGTGCTTACAGACAGCGTAGAGCTGCTCAAATTGTTTCACAAATAAGTACTCCACCGACTCACACAGCAGTGCAACCGGAACAATCAACCTGGAATATCAAATGGTCGTCGTCAATAAAGAGGTTTAAAACTACATTTCTGGACAACGAATTTGGCCACGCTTGCTCTGTTTGCGACCGATTGTGGTTCAAGAATGACCTTAAAATCATCACTGCTGCACAACTACAGGTCATATCGGATTGGTTCGTTAAGGAAAATAGGCAACTACGCGAGGAGGATTATACGCATATTTGCAACACCTGTAGATTTTCGCTGAACAAACATAAGATTCCTACCCTTGCAAAAGTGAATGGCTTCTCATATCCAGAAATACCTCCTGGCTTACCGCCACTGGATCCAATTAGTGAACGATTAATCTCACCACGTCTGCCATTCATGCAAGTGCGTCGTCTGCGGCATGACTTCTCTTATGGAATTATTGGTCAAGTGATCAACGTTCCAGTCAACGTAGAAGACATGGTAAAATGCTTGCCCCGGCATTTAGATGAGGACGACGTCATTAATGTCAACATCAAACGGAATCTCGCACACAAAACAAATTACATCAGTGGCTACATGTCCAAAAGGACAATCAAAGAATGGTTGGATGTACTTCAAAATTCAAGTCTATATCGCTTGTACGATATCAAAGTAGATTTGTCAAGGCTGCAAACTGTCGTGCCACCAGAGGAAGATTTGCAGGATGACTCGGCTCATCGAATCGAAACAATCGCCGCCGAGTGTACTCCGGAGTCAGAAATTCTTGCTTCCAGGCAGCATACACTACTGTGGAACGAAGAGGATTGCCTCGATATCGCACCAGGACATCGGGCCATGCCTCTGAACATCATTTACGATCATCATGCTGAAGAACTATCATTTCCTGCAATATACTACGGCCAGCCTCGTCGCTTTCACATGGGAGTTTCAGTGACACCTTACATGATGGCAACCAGTGAATTACGACGAAGTGACAGACGCGGAGCCACGCCTCAAAAAGTCTTGTACGTTGCTATGAAGATTCTACGTCTCCGCATGGTGGATGGCATTTACAGCACATTTCGGAATGTGTCAACCACGGAAAACGTAACTCGACGCATGTTGGAGGACCCGGAATTTCTTAAAGAATTTGTCGTTCAAAATCTTGCCTTCATGAAGTCAGTACCTTCTATGCGGTGACTTCAACCAAAACGTGAAGTCTGATGACAAGTTTCTCAAATTCATTAAAGATACGTTTAATCTTGATTGCGTATCAGATATGTCTAAGTCTACTACGTTAAAAGGAACAACCATTGACTTGACATTTTCTAGGCACATTACAGCAGAAACACTTCCTTTCATTTCATATTTCTCCTATCATCGCTCTGTCCTCAACAAAATCACTCAGATAGGAACAAGTTAAGTTGTAGTAAACGCTGTTTCATTGTACGCAAATGTATTGCAAGTTATTGTATGTATATTTGTATATAAATACGTATGTATGTGTAAAGGTAAAAATAAAATTTTGTTAATATGAAATTCAGTGCGAGATTCTTTGTATAAATTAATGTTTTAAATATAATTCTTTGTATAAATAAATGTTTTAAATTGTTACTATTATTTCATCCTTCTTCCTACTATACGAATGAATATTCACATTAAAATTATTTTACCACTCAAAGTCGTTGTCACGTAAAACTTTCGCCCGTATACCGACTTTACAGGCAACCAATATTTTTTTTGTATATTATTCAATTTCTTTGATGAAAAACTTACTGAAAAAATTAAACATTCCATATACATACAAAGCAGTCACACAAAATTAGTTTCATACCACCCATGCTAATAACATCTACAGCAAACTATCAGCTACTTATCTAGTCCCCCGAATAATGAACAACTTACCATTTTCTTTATTTATACAGAAGAGAGAAAATACATATGAAAACTAAATTAAAATCTTACTTCCTACTTAACGCTGATCTTGACACTTCGAAATGAATTTACCTAGTTATTTAATTAGCTAATTTATCAAAATTATAATTTAGTCCGATATTTAAACTATTTGCAACACAATGTAGTATGACATACATTCTATTTTTCTTTATCAAACCAGTATATGTTGATATAGATGATTATTTACAAACATTTGTGGTTTATAGATGCTATTTTATTACTTATGTTTTTGTATCCAACTTTGCAATGATAAATTAAAAAAAAACACTATATGACACACATCAATGTAATGTAGAAAATATTTATTATAATGAAAGGCAAAGGTATGGTATGTGATATGTGGAAAGGCATGTGGTATGTGGAATCCAAGTCTTTTTGTAGTGCTATTTTATAAAATATTGCAATGCAGAGTTACAATTACAAACTTTGGAATTGTTGGCCAACTTGTTTTATATCTATAATCAAATGACAATAATTATCATTTGAATTTTATGTGTGTATACAAGTAATTTACATAAAAGTATATTTTACTTTTTATATTTACTAGATTATAAGTATAGAACAAATAAAGTACAACAAAGTATTTTACTTTTAACATAGGTTGACTAACTAGCAAGTAAAAAGTTATTAGATCAACTTAATTGCTATGTTTCTCCTTATTTACATCTCATTTTAAGGGTAAAAACATAGATAAGTATCATACTTATAATATTAAATGTATTGTGTAAGCAACACAAAAAATATACCTGATTTCTACTCTGCTCTTGAGAATTAACACTCTTCAGAATATTTATTTTATTTGCTAACTGGGCCTGAAAAATAAATTTAATGTATGTTCATATTTCATCACATTATAAATCATAGTTGTTAGTATGTTCTTGTAGTCATCATGAATTGTTTGACTTACAGCTTTGTTTTGAAAATAATCAGATTTACTCAGATCCATATTGTTAATTTTAATTATCTTAAAACATAATCATCATACCTGTTGCATATTTTACATTTAATCACGCACTGGGCCTATGCCTTATATATATTTTATCTTAGTTTCCAAAATTTATAGGAAGTTTAAATAAATTCCACAAAAACAATGTTTTAATCATGAACAACAGTATTTTGTGGAACATCTTATATTCATTTAATAAAGCAAGAATTCTATAATCGTTTATAAAATGATTTTTTAATATTTAACAGTTTCCCTGTCTGCAAAACAGATGTAGTTTTATTAACATAAATATAAAGTAAATATCTATATTTTGAAAACTAACTAATATTATATATATCAACACAACTATGAGCATCAGAAATCACTTCTTCCAAAAGAACTACTGTTCATATTTGCTTGTAACAAACATTGCTTGTTGTACAAATGTAACAAAACTAGAAACTTACAGTAGGAAAAATGGTTGGCACTGCATCATCACAAAGCCTAACTACATCAAGAGTTTTATTAACAGATTCTTTTGCAAAATGCAGGGAGCTTATGTGGTTTTGTTTTTCTGTTGCGTTGATATTTTCTACACCTATAGAGTCAAGCCACATTTGTCTTTTGCTTTCGTTTTTTGGCAACCTAAAAATGATAGAACAGAAAATAATGATTTAGATCTATGAAGCTGTAAATAATATTACAAATTAAACAACAGCATGAGTGTTATACAAGGTCACTTAGAGATAAAAAATATACTTAAAATTTTTGTATATTGCATTATTAGAAGGCACAGATGGGCTATTATATCCAATATATAACAAAGTGGGTTCTCCAGCTGTCAAGTAATAAAGTCCCTCCCTTTTTTTTTTTGCGCCCGAAGCAAATATGGGCAACCCTCCGGAAAGCGGGGGAGGGGAGGCGGTGAATGCTCATAGCATACCACGCAGCCAGCTGCGTGGTTATGTGGAGACTTTTATCCACTAAACACCGCCTTTTAGAAATGGCTTAACGATCTGCCTAGAGATCTCTAAGCCGTATACGAACGCGACCCTCCTTGGCAGAAAGGAGGGCGCAGTCCCTCCCTCTGAGGTATTTGCATATATAATGCATGGTTTCTGTATATATTACTCTACTCTATGCAGTTTATACAAAGGTACTCTGTGATATGCTAGTATATATACAGTAATCTATGGTGATATGTCCGCGCTGACTACAATACACTGTATTCCGCTTTTAGGAATATAGACATCAGGGAAGTAACGGTAGTAGCACGCAAACTGCGCGCTGCGAAGTCCCCACAAGAACGTCTCCTCGTTCTTGCAGAACATAATAATCTCCTGTTAGCGTTGTAAGTTAAGTTAACTTAATTAACTTAACTCCAATGTCAGAGCAAATTAATCTACCAAAATCTCACGGTCGTATCAAACATAAGGGTTTATCGCTTGTATCATTCAATATTCGCGGCTTGCGAAATAACCTCCCAGAGCTTAAGCTCTTTCTTCGGAATCGTGAAGTCGATTTCCTCCTCCTACAGGAAACTAATCTCAAAACAAAAGATACTAAAGGCCTTTCTATTAAAAACTTCGCTCTTCTTCGTAATGACAGACCCGACCGCCGAGGCGGCGAAACGGCCATCTATTACAAGAAGACACTTCATTGCTCGCCCATTTCTACTCCGCAGCTTACCAACATGGAAGCCACGGTATGCAGGATAGCTATGACTGGACATCAGTCCATCCTCATAGCCTCCTGTTACATTCCTTCAGGAACTCATCCCCTCAAAAAAGATTTTGAGGCCATTTTATCTTTAGGCAATTCAGTCATTATGTTTGGAGATTTTAACTCCAAACATACTGAATGGACATGCCGTACTACGTCCCCTAGTGGCAAGATACTGCTCGATATCACGCAGTCTCTTGATATTACCGTCCATAGTCCCCTCGGTGTTACTCACTTTCCCGATAACACCGATCACGCCCCCTATGTCCTAGATTTTGCGTTACTCCAAGGAGTTTCTCTCACCCTCAGAGCAATCGAGACACTAGACGATCTAGGATCCGATCACCGACCGGTCTCCCTCATTCTTGGCCATCAGCCACCTCCCCCAACACACACGAAAACCTTCACTGGAAGGGATACAAGGAGTCCCTAGCTGAAGCTCTGGTCTCACAGGACTCTACCATCTCCCTACCGTCGGACTTAGACAGTCCCGAAAAAATCAACACCGCGGTCGATTTACTCTCCACCCTTATTAAATCCTCCCTTAAGGAGAACGAAAGGGTCGTCCCGGTTGCTAACAATAGTGGGCTTCCCCTACATATTAGCAACCTATTAAAAGCCAAAAAAGCTGCTTTCCGGAGAGCAGCAAAATATCCCACCCCCGAATATAGGCGCGCGGCCAATCGTCTTCAACGAGAACTCCGCTTCCGCCTCTCTGAATTTCGAGACCTCGAAAAGAGTAAACTCATGGAGAATATCTCTCCATCTCATACAGCGTACTATCAGATGGCCAGAGCCCTCCGCATAGACGCTATCACCCACACTCCCCCTCTCTCCCGTCCCGACGGCACGGTTGCCTTCGAGGACGAGGAAAAGGCTGAGTGATTTGCAGATAGCATTGCCGCACAATGCTCTCCTAGCTCTCAACCCGTCGACCCCTCACACGTCCAGGCAGTGGAGGATGAGGTCCGCCGCCGGAACTCACCCCCTACGGCCTCCGAACCTATCTCTGTGTCCAATGATGAGATTTCATCCCTCATCAAAGGACTTAAGCCAAAAAAGGCTCCGGGCGCGGATGGCATCTCCAACCAAGCCCTAAAACACTTTCCTGAGCAGGTGTTAACCTTTTTATCTATTATCTTCAACGCCTGCTTCAACCTTAGTTACTTTCCCACTACGTGGAAAGAGGCAACTGTGATTGGCATTCCCAAGCCAGGCAAGCCTCTTAACCTCCCCTCCAGTCATCGCCTCATTAGCCTCCTCAAGGCAATGGGCAAGCTCTTTGAAAGAGTCATCCAATCACGTATGAGGCGCTATCTGTTTCCCACAGACGGTGACCCTCTTATCATTCCCCATCAATTCGGGTTCCGAGCCCAACACTCATGTCCCCAACAAGTTCACCGCATTGTGGAATATATCCTCAGCGGTTTCTATCCTCGTCGTCATAAGACCATCACGGTCTTTTTCGACATAGCTAAAGCTTTCGATAGGGTCTGGCATACAGGCCTTATCTACAAACTCTACAAAATAGGTCTCCCCGATCGCCTAGTACGTCTCGTGGCCTCTTACCTAGAGTATCGTACCTTTCGTTTTAGAC